AAAGGGAGGGAAAGGTGCGTTCAGGTAAGAGGTTTCGTGATAAAGAGGCAGGTGAGGGGGGGGTCTCCGTTCGCTCGTGTGTGTGTGTGTGTGTGTGTGTACGCGCGTGTGTGTGTGTTGTAGGAGATCCAAGAGATGTTATGATGAGTGAAGGAGGGCGGAGGGTCAGGTGATTGGAGAAGAGGAGGAAGATGAGAGGGTAAGGAGATGGGAGGGGGGCAGGTGAGTAGATGCCGAGAATTTTTTTTTTTTTTCAATAATCTCGGACTTCCCGCACGCCTTTGGTTCTACAACACACTTCTGGTTCTACAACACATCTCTGGTTCTACAACACACTTCTGGTTCTACAACACATCTTTGGTTCTACAACACACCTCTGGTTCTACAACACATCTCTGGTTCTACAACACACCTCTGGTCTTACAACACATCTCTGGTTCTACAACACACCTCTGGTCTTACAACACATCTCTGGTTCTACAACACACCTCTGGCTCTCTCTCCAACTGCCGGCGTTCAATAACTCATAAAAATAAAGTGAACGACATACAATACTTTCTGTCACCATTTTGTGAAATAATATTATCCCCTAGAAAATACTTACACACAACTCATAATATACATAGAACTGTTATAAATATTTAATATATAAAAACATAATTCATGAACGTAAGCTGTGAATAAATAGCAACATATATAAAGATATAGCGCCAAATATAAGGAAATATTTACATTACATATTGGATTTGCAATTTTATGATCAGAAATATAATTTGTTCCCAGAATATTTTGATGGGGATGATTTAGTTTAGTCTGCCCTGTCACCATTATATATATATTATTTTAATGAAAGTCTAATCTTAAGGTAATTGGTTATTTTTGTCATTCAGCTGATCATAGTTAAGTATAGTAAACATACACAGGTCATTCACAAGGCCTAGTTATTACTGTAAGTATTTATTCACGTCTCTTGAAGCTCATTTTATGCATACAAAAAATTCTTATATTAAAGTTTTGCGATTAAGGACATTAAGCTGTTAAGAGTGAATTATACCATAACAACATAAATATACATCATTAATAAAATTATAGTCATTTTTGCATTTTTGTTACTACTACTTTATGTAATTTGACTCAATTTTATGTAATTTCTTCTAAGAACCTCATGAACATGGTCAATGAACTTACTAAATGTTTGTAAGTAAATATGAAGATAATTTAATTTAGTCTACCCTGCAACAATACCCCCAAACATGTAAATAATCCTCCACAATATACATATACATACATACACTATACAGGGGAGAAGGGAAAAGTTTGTCTCAAGTCATCGTATACAGTGAAGATGGAAGCCAGAAAGATGAATGACAAAAGGGCAGAGGAGCCAAGTTGAGAGAGAAAAGATGATTTGATGGGAGAGTTGAATAAGTGACGACTGTAAGCTGGACATTTTCTGTGAGGGAGACAATGGATGGTGTGTGTGTGTCGCGGTGAAGAAGAAGAAAAAACAGCACAGGTTTTATTTTTTATTTTTCAGAACTGAAATGCCTATGACATTTTATTTCTTATTTTTCATATTTTTTTTGTAAGGATATATTGCTTTACCTGGTGTGTATATATATATATATATATATATATATATATATATATATATATATATATATATATATATATATATATATATATATATATATACGCCTTCATGTTTATTTTTTAGACCCACCACAACCATCATTACCACCACAACCGTCACTACCACCAACACCACCACCATCAACACCACCACCATCAACACCACAACCATCAACACCACAGCCATCACCACACCCATTACTACCACCACCACCACAACAACCACCCACACTCCCTTCACCACGACCACCATCACCACCATTCCCACCATCATCATCACCACGTAAGATATGGTAAAAGTTCTGTCGTCGAATGTCAAACTTTTGGTATCTGAGAATAAAATAAATCAAACTAACCTGCCTCATTAAACATGTAAGAATTTAAAATACGAAAATATCAAGAATATAAAGGAGAATTTTCTTCGATGACTCGTTATATCAAGGACGATTTTCATATCACAAAATATATCACTCAGTATCATAACAGGATCGAGTCATACCTACATACGGTCACTTTAATTAAACTATTCGTAATATCTTCAGCTGACAGTTTCTATTGGGTCCAGCCACGTAATACGACTCCAGGAACTAATGTGCTTGTGTTTGTGTAGCAGAGTAACGGGATTAGGAGAGTTTCATCAGCCAGGGTTTACAAGCGCTCACTATAATCTATATCGACTTGTTCCAAATACTGCCGTTTTAATTATACTTATGATGTAATATATAGTTCAATAATTTTATATATTATTCAAAGAAATGTAACTTAGACGATATGTATTTAAGCATCTCTCATTCTCTCTCTCTCTTTCTGTCTCATTCTCTTTGTCTCTTCTCTCACTCTCTTGAAATATCCTGAAACACCTCCTTCATAAACATCTCACAAGAGTCAGTTCACGGCTCAGTTCTTCGACAGACACAATTCACAAAGAAAATCAAGATACTAAACTATTTATCACACACAATCACAGGGGATGACGCATATCTTTACGATCACTTCATTTTAACTTGTGTCGGGGTGAGAGAAATTCAATTAAAATCCGTTTAGTCGAGGTTTATGTAAGCCACAGCCGAGGGGCATATTGATCTCGCAGTCCGCCTGTCTGCCCGTCCTCACGTCATCAAAATACTTTCCAACCATTATCTTCGAAACTGACAAGTAGTTCAGAGGCTTGTAGTTAACTGTGTGTTTAAGAGTCACAGTAGTCAAAGTACAATTAGGACAAGGCCAGTAAGTGAGCCCTGAGTGCGTGTGTTTGCAGTGACTATAATAATCAATGAAGTAGCTTACATGATGGTCACGCACCTGTAGTTATTCCCTGCGTGTGTGTATGCAGTACCTTATTACAGTACAAGTAGGTCAAGGTGTACTGCTTACCTGTGTGTGGGGTGGGGTGGTATCCAGGTGTAAATATCACGCGTGTCACAAGAAGGACCACGTGTTGTGTATGTCGAAATCCTCTTCAGTTGATCCCAGACGTAATAACATAATATTTACACCTCACCCCGTACGGCTATTATGGTCTTGATACACTGAGCGACGCTGTGTTTTAAGTTCTCACAGGCAGGAGGATGGCAGAAGATATATTTTCCTCACTGAAGGAGGAGTAAACACTATCAGTAAGTAAGCCTTGTGTGTACTGTTTGTGGCGAGAAGAGGAAGTTTTAAGCCCGGTGAGCGTGTTGAATGATTGATGGCTCCTCGCGTGATACTACTCAACATTAATTTTTACCACAAGCACCAATTTAAAAAAAAAAAGGAAGAATTTGTATACACGAACGCGTACAGGAATACATGTGCATACACAGTACAGCTCGCTGGTACACACGCATATACACGCACGCTCACAGATGTTGATACACATTAAGACATATTACAGTAACACACAAACTAACACAATCAGAAATAAATTAACACATAAACTAACATACACTCAGAGGTAAGTTAATAACACCACCTGCACGTAGTTTCCGGCGGTGTACGGTCAAAACTGTATTATGAAAATGGACGGAAAACCACTACGTAAGCACTTAAACCTGTCAACGCTACCCCCTCACCTTCCCTCAACTCCCTCTCCTCCCCCTAACAACCCCGCCTCACCTGCCCCAAACTCTCCTCTCCTCCCCTAACAACCCCGCCTCACCTGCCTCAACTCCTCCCCCTAACAACCCCCCGCCTCACCTGCCCTCAACTCCCTCCTCCCCTCAACCCCGCCTCACCTGCCCTCTCCCTCCCTCCCCCCTAGCAACCCCGCCTCACCTGCCCCTCCTCTCCTCCCCTAACAACCCCGCCTCACCTGCCTTAACTCCTCCTCCTCCTAACAACCCCGCCTCACCTGCCTCTCCTCCTCTCCTCCCCCTAACAACCCCGCCTCACCTGCCCTCAACTCCTCCTCCCCCAACAACCCCGCCTCACCTGCCTCAACTCCCTCCTCCCCCCTCCCCCTCCACCTGCCCAACTCCCTCCCTCCCTGCTGCCCCACCTCCTCCCCTGCCTCAACCTGCCTCACCTGCCTCACCTCCCTCTCCTCCCCCTAACAACCCCTTACCTGCCTCAACTCCCTCCCCTCCCCCTAACAACCCCGCCTCACCTGCCCTCCACTCCCTCCCCTCCCTCCTAACCCCTCACCTGCCTCACCTCTCCTCCCCTAACAACCCCCACCTGCCTCAACTCCCTCTCTCCCTTAAACCTGCCCCTCCTTCCCTAACAACCCCCGCCTCACCTGCCCTCCAACAACCGCCTCACCTGCCCTCAACTCCCTCCTCTAACAACCCCGCCTTACCTGCCTCAACTCCCTCTCCTCCCCTTAACAACCCCGCCTCACCTGCCCTCTCCTCCCCCTAACAACCCCGCCTCACCTGCCCTCAACTCCCTCCCCTCCCCCTAACTGCATTAACTGATCCGCATAATGAAGTAAAAGGGCAAATGCCGTCAGCTCCTGTATGAAAAAACATTTAAACATGACTTTCCTTTCTAAATTTTCCCCTCTGTTTTGCATCCAGTATGATTGGCTGTAGTGAGTTCAGTTTTAGTCGTAGAATTCTCACCTTTCAGAGCCTCTTTACGTTCTAAAAAGGTGTTTAATTCCAGCAATCATTATAAAAGTTCTTGAAAATATATTTTTATTGCGGATTATTGATATTTCTTGCTCGGGATCCAGTTTAGTTGATAGTTTTGTTTTGAGAATTCAGTAAGGTTTTTTTAGATTGACTTACTCGCGACTCCTTTAGATTGAGTTAACTATATCTTGTTACTGATCCTGTATGCAAGATCACTGACTCGGATTACAGATCAATATTGTTAATGTAAGGACAGCGACTCTTGTTACTAATCCAAAATAGATGATTCAAGGACGTTATCTTCCGACACAGATCCAGTATGGTTGGCAGCTGAGGCGGCCTAGCATGGACTGGGTGAGGTTCACCATCCTCCTGGTGGTGTGGGCAGCAGGGGCGGGCAGTGAAGGGGTCACCAACACCGTCTGCCCATCCAGGGACGACAACCCCTGGTGTCCCTGTTACCACTTCGACGATGGCATCTTCCTGGAATGTCCCATGGTGTCCCTGGGCACGGTGGCTGAGGTCCTGGGATTGGTACGACGTCCAATTAAGTCCCTCAGCATCTACGACCTCGACACCAACGTCACGTCATTAATTCCTGGAATCTTCAGCAATAGCGAAGGCGTTACTATCTTGCAAATTTCACATTCTAATCTTCAGAATATTGCGGACGGTAGTTTCCGAGGACTGGAGAAATCCCTGCAGAGTCTGACCATCATGCACAGTCAGCTTACTACTGTCCCTCAAGCGGCGCTACAGAAGCTCTCCAAGTTAAGATCATTAGACCTGGAAGCTAATAATATCACTGAACTACAAAGCTATAGTTTTTTCAACATGAAGTTAGTAACTCTTAACCTTAAAGGCAATGGTATAAAATTAATATCAGAATATGCTTTCGATGGCCTGGAAGACAGTTTAGAGGATCTTAACCTAATGAACAATAAACTCAAGCAGCTTCCAATACCTGCTCTGCGGCGACTTAGTAAACTGCAGTCATTAAAGGCCACCTGGAACCAAATCTCAGATGTGGTCAGTGATGGGTATTCCCACCTCCCGGCGCTCCACGTGCTGGACCTTAGTAGTAACCACTTTACAGAGCTGACCAGCAGTACCCTGGCCACCATGCCGGCCCTCGTCTCCCTCTCTGTGTACATGAATGATATCTCTCACGTTGCTGGTGATACCTTCATACAAAACTCTGGTCTACGGTCCCTTTACCTGAGCCACAACAACATCATGAGTCTCTCCCCGGAAACGTTCTCCTACACCATGTACATGAGGGTGATAGATCTCGGCGACAACCACCTTCACTCTATAGAGGACGGCATGTTTAGTAATCTTCCTGAGCTACAGGAAGTGTTTTTAAACAATAACAACATCTTGAAAATCTGTAACGAAACTTTCGCCAACTCCACTAAGATCTCCGTCCTGTACCTCCAAAACAACGAAATTCATTCCATTGAGAGTGGAGCATTTGCCAGCATGGAGTCACTCTCCAATCTCCAGCTCAGTTCTAACAATCTGGAGGAGATTCCATTGGGGCTTTTCTTTACCACCCGGACTTTGAATTCCTTGAGTCTGGACGACAACAGAATCACATCACTGCCAGACGGCATCTTCAGCCAACTCCCCGACCTGCGGGAGCTGAGACTACAGAACAACAGACTCATCAGGATCGAGGGAGGAATCTTCTCGCCGCTCCCAAACCTTCTCGAGTTACACTTGCAGAATAATCTCATAGAGGTCATCGCCAAAGAAGCCTTTTCGTCATTAGAAAATCTCCAGCATTTAAATTTGGAAGGGAATCGTTTGACTGAGTTACCTGATCTCCTGAGTCGGTATCCTGCGAACCTAATAACACTAAAACTTTCAAAAAATCAAATAAAAAATATTCATGCTGATGCATTTAGGGGACAAGACAAGCTTGAAATATTTTGGTTAAATGACAACAACATAACAACACTTTTGAATATATTAGTCAGTGATCTGTCTTCCTTACAAGAGTTGTATCTGGAAAATAACCAGATCAACAACATTCAAGATAAATGCTTTAAGAGCATGAAGAAGTTGGAGCATCTTTCACTCTCCAACAACCAGATGCAACACGTCAGTTCCTTGTTATTCGAAGGTTTAACATCCCTGGAAAAACTATACATGGATAAGAACAAGATTATGGATATTGAGCCACAAACTTTTCAAAAACTGAAGAAATTGAAGGATCTAGATCTCTCCAATAATCAGATCTTCGTCATTCGGAGATACATGTTTGAAGGGACAATCCCCATCATTATGCTGAATCTGAAGGGTTCCATGATCAACGAGATCGATCCAGACGCCTTCAGCGATTTACTGTACCTGGAGGAACTGAACTTGAAGAGCAACATGCTAACCCAGCTCAACAGACTTTACCTTAATGTGCGGAGTATTAAGACTCTTAACATAGCAGATAATAAGTTTGAAAAGATTGAAGAGGACGCACTGTATAGTCTGCCCGTTATGAGTACCTTAGATATGAGTGAATGTCAACTTCTCCGACTACCTCCACACTTGCTGGCTGAGGCATCGGAGCTTCGGTCTCTCAACCTGGCCAAAAACAATTTTAAGACTCTTACTGCTGCGCTCTTCCAGAAAATGAAAGGCCTGAAAGAGGTAGATCTGTCTTACAACAACTTGTCTAACACTATAATGACTTCCTTAGAGGGTCTTTCGAAGCTCGAGGTGCTAAGACTTAGAGGAAATCCATTAGTGGAACTAAGTGGGTCTCTGAATGAGATGGCCAATCTTCGAGAATTGCACTTATCTGAAACGAAGTTAATCAAAATGGACAACACAGTATTTAGCAAATTAAGGAATTTGAAAGTACTTGATCTTTCCAATAACAGTCTGTCGGAAATTCCACCGGGTATCTTTGCCAACCTGAGTATCGAAAAACTCAGCCTTGCGGACAACATCTTCTACCAAATCCCCAATGCCATGTTCCTGGACGGCATGCCGGCGCTCAGGACTCTCAACATGTCTGGCAATCCTCTGCTGCGCGTCACTGGTCCTCTCGTCTCAGGGGGTCCCACCTTGGCCCTTCTTCAAGAGCTGGAGGCTGCAAGAACCAACCTGACGCTGCTGACGAGTCATGACCTGTTGCTCACACCCAACCTTCGCTCCCTCAACCTCGCACACGCTGCCATCGCCAAGATCTCGCCCGGGTGCTTTAGAAACCTTACCAGTCTCTCCAATCTTAATCTTGGCTACAACCGGCTGGAGATTTTACCTAGGGAGAGACTGCGGGGTCTCAAAACACTTTCTCACCTCAACCTGACGGGGAACAGCCTGAAGAAGCTTGACCAACTGCCCTCTGGATCACATTCATTACAGGTAAGTCATATATATCTGCAATATGTTTACGGTATGTCACAAAATTTCTAAGTTTGTATAAGTTATAACCAAGTAGGTTTTCCTTTACCATGTTAAATCTAAGCGAGAGTCTTTATTAGTCGACATAATTACGGCTGAAATAAAGAAGAATTGTTGATGTAATTGTTGTGTCTTTGAGTTTACATCATTTAATGCTGGTGAGGCTAACACCATAACACCCACATGATAGTCACACTGCCATGGACGATCAGCATAAGGGTATCTCGATCACCTTTGCTTCTGCAGGTGTTGGACGTCTCTAGCAATATGCTGACGGAGTTGACGGACTCGACCTTCAAGAATGGCGAGAGTGTGGAGAATCTGCTGCTGGGATCAAACTGGATTACCACTATACACCCAAGAGCCTTCGTGCCACTCACCAGTCTCCGTTACCTCGACCTCTCCAACAACTACCTGGAGGGGCTCAGCACCGTATCACTGGAGCCCATCGAAAGAAGCCTGGAGACCCTCCAGCTGGGGGGGAATCGCTGGAACTGCGGGTGCGAGGTGAGCGAGTTGTGGTCGTGGCTCCAGGACCATCTCTCCTATGTGTACGACCCTACCACCCTCGACTGCGAGCTGCCCAAGGTGAGCACTGTCTTACATTGTTCTATTATGACGCTCGCGCGCACACACACACACATGGACACATTTTTAGATAAAAATACCAAGTGTCAATTTCTGAAGAAAGTATATTGTGTTTAAAGTTTTAGAAAAAATGGAGTATATCCCTTATTAATGCTTCACTTAATTTGTTTAAAGCACTGATGCAAAATTCAATGATGAGATTTTTTTTTACTTTCTTCAGGCCACACGAGTCCTCAGAGATAACAATAAACCAGTCATTTTCCTTCATTGTTCCTGTCCTCTATAATCCTCAACGAACATTTCTTCATTTTCTTCTTCTCTGCTGTTAATATATCCACCTCAGCTTACTTCCTGTTTCCCTTCCTCCTCCTCCCTCAGACGCTACGTGGTCAGTCGTTCCTGCTGATGTCGTCCTCGACCTTCTGTCCTCAGCCAGTGATCCTCCGTCTGGCCATCCAGGACATACAGAGTCAGTCGCTGCTGGTGTCGTGGCAGGCGTCCAACTCCTCCGCTGTCTATGGCTTCAAGGTCAGTATACCGGGATGGTGGTGGTGGTGATGGACAGTATATGCGGGTGGTGGTCAGTATACAAGGGTGGTGGTGGTGGTCAGTATTCACGGGTGGTGGCAGGAAACTAAATCTTACACTGCTAAAAGCTTCATATTTATGTATGAAATTTATATTCCTTTGAGTGTAAGAAATCGAGATGTAAACTTTGTGACATGTAAACTTTATAATATTGACACAATAAGGTAAATAAGTGTGTGAATTAATATGATTTACAGAATCGTTGATCAAAAACTAGAATTTCACAACTCCAGGTATCTTATTGAATCACTGGAGAATGATCGTTTATGACCATACTGCTTCACCAACATTAAAAACACATTATGAATCACATTTAAATGGGGATAGGGATTTTAAATGGCAAAAACGACTAAAGCTCATTGGAAAGTTATCACCCATAGTCTTAGAGTGTTACCACCTTCGTCCTATCTTCAGGTGAGGTAATCAGTTGTCTCCTGGGTGTCTGTCCAGGTGTCGTTTCAGGTGACTGCTGGCGACGGACGGGTGTTGGGGGGCCTCAACACCCGCACCCTGCCTGCCACTCCTCGTACCTACCGCCTGGGTGATCTACAGCCAGGGACGAGCTACCTGGTGTGTGTGCAGGGCCTCACCACATCTCTCAAGCCCGTCAGTAGAGCCCGACCACACACTCAGCAGGACGCCCTCAGCACACAGCACCCCCTGGTAAACACCCGCTAGAATCAAGTCCCAGTACAGTGGCTTAAATAGTGTGACAAATCTCTGTATTAATGCCCCTAAATTAATGTTTTGAGAATATTTACAGTTCATTTGAAAACTACTCTCACATTGGCAAGTGTAGCATTCCCTCTCTTTCTGCTTGTTTGCCCGTCTGATTCTCTCTTTATCTATTGTTTTACATCTATCTCTCTACTTGCCTTAAGTAACCGGTCTCTACATCTCACCCGCCAGGACCTGGACACCAAGTGCACGCGGGGGAAGACGCTGGAGCAGCCCCAGGCACAGATCGTCCTCAACAACCGTCTGGCCATCATCATCGGGGTGTCGCTGGGCATCTTTATCTTCGTGGTGGTGGGCACCATCATCTGCTGCTGCCAAATTTGCAAGAACAAAAGGGAACCTGTCAAGCCGGAAGGTCCGGGCACCCAGGATTATCTCTCCTACAGACACTTCTCTATTCCGGGCAACGACGCCAACTCCTATGAGGGTTACACAGCGTGTTAGGAGCACTGTGAAGATTGCACCTACGTGCTAGGAGAGCTAGGAATACCCTAGCACCGATTCTCAGTCCGAAAGATATGAACTCTTATTTCTTGGACGCAAACTCCTATGGGCGTTGTTACAGTGCGTGCTAGGAGCGTCAGGAACTGTGTTGTAACTTAGGTGCGAGTTAAAGGCTGTAAAAATGCCTAAACGTTCGACATTGTTATGTTGTGAGTTGTGTAAACTTGGACAAGCAGATCCATATTGGAGATGGCCGGTGATTCGAGGAAATATCTTGGAATGTTTTGGGAATCTTCTGTGATCTTAGGATGTACTAACTTAGATGTGCATCCAAAGATTTTCTTCAAGGAGTCAGTTAGTCGGAATATTTGTTGTTGAAATTCTGAAGTGTTCATAGTGTTGGTTATGACTGTTTCTGCCTAAGAAATGTACAGTGTATAGATTTGTAAGTAAGATAGTGATGAACTAGACAAGTCATGTCAAGAATGTTTTTTGGCACTCACGCCAGTACTGGAATAGTGCGTGTGTGTTTATCACTTACCAGATACACCGACCAGTGAATCCAAAAACCCGTGTTCACAATCATCTGAACAAGCGCAGGTACAGAAATGAGTACTGGTATAGGTACAAACACAGGTTGACGGACATTTGCACAAGATCAGGTACAATAAAGATAATTACGGTGGTCTGTTACTCCTACTTACGACTACAATACATTTCTGAGTGAAACATTTACCAGTTAAACCAGTCCTGCATTTACCATGTAATCTGTAATTTCTTTTACCACTGATAAAGGAGAGTTGATACCAATGATGCATTTACATTCCGTTTACTACTGAAAGTTTGATTCTTGCGGTCCAAAATATTGATAGATATAATAAGAGGTACAGACACTTATCTCTTCTCCTGACTATGGGTCACGCGCCTCTAAATGAATGTTAAAGGCATTTGTTTATAAGTCTTCGTGAATTATTGAGAGCCTTTAAGTGGTGATTGTTTAAAGTGGATGTTTATGTGGGTTAAGTGTGAGCCTTTAAGTTCTTCTCATGTGATATTTTTGGGGGATTTTTCAGCGAGTCGCTGACAGAATACTAATTTTGCTTCTCTGCGAATATCATGTGAATTTTGAGTGGATTTCACCTGAGACCAAAGTGTACCTTTACGTAAATATATTGATAAAGTTTGGTGAATAAAAATTCAATGGGTCATAATTAATGGAAATTATTCTATCTATATATTCCAAGACTGTTGTATATCAATGAAAATACATAGATACGCGAGTCTTCTAAGAACAAAATAAATACACAGATCTTCAAGGATAGTGTATTTCAATGATGATGCTTGTATGATTTATACGTCAGAAACAATATACACAAATACCCAAGACTGGTGTATATTAGTGAGAGTGTGAGAGTGGATATACACGTCAGCTGTATATAGTCAGTCAGCTCCGTGTCTGCTACACTTGGTTCTCGCTGACCAAGTTTTGTACATAGTTGTAAAATAAACACGAAAATCAGACATCCCCTTGGATCCTACGCTGGCGGACTAACTCTGGTGTGGTGCTAAGTGTTTCCTTTAGGAGTGACTGTACATTTTGGAACCTCCCTCAGTGTTGTGCGCTTATAACACATCATATTTTCTCCGATGTTGGAAGCTTAAGACACCCGAACCTCTCTTGTTGTATTGGGAGCTTAAAAAAAACATTAATTTTTTCAGTGTTGCGACCATACCACACAACACATTTCTCCAGTGATAAAAGCTTCAAACACAATAAACGTCTTCAATGCTATATAGTATTGAATCTTTACGACACATTAAACCTTGTCATTTATGTGAAATTACAACGTGGCTTGACAGTTTCGGTGATTTGTAAATAGAAGCTGACGAAAAATAACAAGAATAACATAAACAGAAGAGGAAATAAGGAAAAGACAGAAAATAATGTAAGGACCAGATAGTGACCAGCGAATAAGAGATAAATATATGCATAGAAGAGAGAGAACGATAAATGAGACAAAATATGATAAATGCAAAACTGTGAGTCTAAATGAAAAAAAAAGAACGTAAAGAAAATGAACTAAAACCAGGTACCGATAAGAGAAATAGCAAAAGATGGTTGTAAAAAGATAAATACTAAAATAAAACTGGAAACGCTTAGGGAAAGAAAGAAAGAAAGAAAAAGAAAAAAGAAAGAAAAAAATGAAAGCAGGGAAGAAAGAAAAAGAAAGAAAGAAAAAAAAGAAAAAAAGAAAAGCAGGGAAGAAAGAAAAAGAAAGAAAGAAAAAAAAGAAAAGCAGGGAAGAAAGAAAAAGAAAGAAAGAGAAAGAAAAGCAGTTCAGTTGAAGGCTTTACCACCACGACCGACACATAAAGCGGAGAGCAAAGGTCTGTGATGGCGAAGTAAGTGTTCGTCTTCAATAACGACAGAGAGAAGAGCACTCGCCCCTAGGTCCCCAGGTCATCAAGCCCTCAGGTCAACAAGTCCTCAGGTCAACAAGTCCTCAGGTCATCAAGTCATCAGGTCATCAAGTTCCCCAGGTCATCAACTCTCCAGGTCATCAAGTCTTCAGGTCATCAAGTCCCCAGGTCAACAAGCCCTCAGGTCAACAAGTCCTCAGGTCATCAAGTTCCCAAGTCATCAAGTTCCCAAGTCAACAAATCCCCAGGTCAGCAAGTCCCCAGGTCATTAAGTCTCCAGGTCAGCAAGTCCCCAGGGCATTAAGTATCCAGGTCATCAACTCTCCAGGTCATCAACTCTCCCGGTCAACAAGCCCCCAGATCAACAGGGCCCCAGGTCATCAAGTCTCCAGGTCATCAAGTCCCCAGGTCCGGGAGCCATCAGGTCCAGGAGCCATCAGGTCCGGGAGCCATCAGGTCCGGGAGCCATCAGGGGAGCCATCAGGTCCGGGAGCCATCAGGAGCCATCAGGTCCGGGAGCCATCAGGTCCGGGAGCCATTAGGTCCCTGTTCCCCCAGGCGGGCAAGTGACTGGCAGCAATTAGGAAGCAGACAACGGTTCTATTCTAATGTGACTTTTTGACCCAGGATAATGAGGCCGGGGATGATGTGGCCAAGGTTGATGAGGCCGGGGATGATGAGGCCGGGGATGATGTGGCCAAGGATGATGAGGCCAAGGATGATGAGACCGAGGATGATGAGGCCGAGGATGATGAGGCCGAGGATGATGAGGCCGGGGATGATGAGGCCGAGGATGATGAGGCCGAGGATGATGAGGCCGAGGATGGTGAGACCAAGGATGATGTGGGCGAGAGAGTGTGAGCCACACAACCAATAATGACATTTAGATCGAGGTGTTGTAAGGTCGAATATGCTGAAGTATGTGATATCTGGGAAAAGATTAAGTAGATAGATGCTGTTATAGGCTCTATGTCCTTCCATTATAAGGTCGATGGTCGTGTAACATCGGATATCTGGGGAAAAAAATCCGAGTAGATGCATTGGATTATAGACGTTATTTCCTACAACTTATGGTCGAATATTGTACAGAGTCTGATACGTGTGAAAGGTAGATAGTGTATTCAATTATGATCTTAATGTTATTCCTGTGTAGGAGTGAATATTTTCTTTAAAATACCTGGAATATAAACAAGAAACATTTTTATAAGCCTTGTATCCTCACCCATTAAGGTTGAATGTTGTATGTTCCTGGATGTTTGATGAAAACTGGAAACAACCCAATTTAACCTTATTAACCCCGTTACTTTTACTTGAAAATGTTATCCCTTCTGAAACACGTGTATTAAACAAGAAATAAATAACGATCTTCCTAACAGCTGTCTATAGATGTAAACAAATTAACATTCCCCAAAACACCTGATTTTTGTGTCAATAAGAATATTACTGTTTACCTATCGACTTGCGCGCCACCTGTAAATCGTTCCAGACCTAAAATTGTCTTTAGTTCCTTGAGCAGCTAAACCCATTAAAAACAATTAAATCTGTCTAGAAAGTTTTCCATTTGAGACAGGCAAATATTAATGGTTTTGTGGGGACTAGTATCATTGGTGGTGATGGTGGTGGTTGTGGTGGTTGTGGTGATGATGGTGATGGTGGTGGTTGTGGTGGTGGTGGTGGTGGTGGTGGTGATGATGATGATGGTGGTGATGATGATGATGGTGGTGATGATGATGGTGATGGCAATGATTATGATGGTGATGATGGTGATGATGGTGGAATTTAGAAAAACAAACTAGAGTCAAGTCAGATGTGTCAGCAGGGACTCCATAATGTAGTCAATTACTTATTTCTCGTTTACGTCGAAGCGAGAGTTTGCCCACAGCTGAAGGTGACTTGGCTGTGACCCCCAGATGGTTCTAACCGGGATGAATCTTTTAAGCCTCTCTCGTCAGATGCTTCAATTAGCTTTTCCTCTCCTGTTGTCTCTGATTGCTGGAGATTTTCTTGGTTGTGTGCATATGTGATAACGCATCGAGTAGCTGAAGATTGCGAGTCATTTTAGGTCATCATTGATATTGTCGTTTACTGAGAACTTAATGTAAGGATTCAGTATATATGGTATTAATCAGTTAATTATCATCTCACATCAGTATTTAATTTTATCAAGAATTAAATTAACGGTGGCTACTGAATCGGATGTTGGCTTTGATTCTTTATAATAATCCACGTTGACTCATCTCACTTTTATTAGAGTTTTAAATCAATGGATACTGATTGATAGCCAGAATAACACCGTTGTCACACTCAGCTGAGGACTGTAACTGAGTGGTGTAATAAGTAACATATTGTACTGCGGTATTGGCATCATTGAGAGGTGTCGGTGGGGCCAATAACATTCTATTGACACATGACTCGGTGATGAAGGTGCTATGGACTGTACAGTATATAGGACTAATGTTCATTTTAGATATAGGACCAATACCGTTAGATAGCTAAAAGAGCTTCTCGTGTTTCAGATCAGTGGTCACGTATATAAATGTTGTGTCAAGTAGGAAACAAAGTGAACTAATACTTAAGTGTTCAAAAAATAGAAAAGAGGCTAACTTATATTAATAAAATAAACAGAAAATGCCCCGATAACAAAAGAAATGAACGTTAATTATTTTTTTTATAAACTATCGAGAAACACTTAAGATATGTTACAATATTATGAAACTTTTAAGTTACTTTAACTCAGAAAAAAAATGTGCTGTAGGAAATTTTATAATATTCTAAGTCCTGTTTACTGTTAGCATAAATCTGTAAATGAATTTCATTTCACGTAAAAGAAACAAAAGACAATCTTGAAAACAACTCTGAAATATTTACTGATGGAAAAAACAAAACTGGAAGTATAAATCTAACCAATAAGAAATGATTTACTCGATGTCATGAATAATGTCTCAAAAAGGTTCTAGTTGTTAATCAAAGACTCATGTAGGTGTTGTGAGAGGCTCCATACACGACGGCGTAAGTGTTCGCTCAATATCGTTATTAATCACTCACAACTGAACATTTCCTGGGTTATATCAACGACTCAGACGCCTATGTGTGTGTCTGTGTCCGATGCCGCCTGGTAAAAATTCTAAAGATTCTATAATTTTCTTTGTTTTGATTTTCTTCATCTCAACACCATGACCTCAAGCTGTAGTGATGATGTTGTATGTGTCTGTTTGTTGCTGTACATTGCTAAGGCTGCTGTTATAATTCTGCTACATTATGGCAGGGTTGCATATACTATTTTTTCCCCCAAGGCTGCATACATATTTGTTGAATGATGCTCGGAGCTGTACCCACACTTATTGGAGAGATATACGATTGTTTTGTAATTAATTCTTTCGTAATATTTTGGAATTAAGAGAAAAAGAAAGGTAGAAAGAAAAACAAGAAATACAAGGGAGAACTATTTGTTTATGTATTCATCTGTTTTCATATTGTGTTTCAGAAATTCTTCATTTTTTTTATCTCGACAGAAAATGTAAAGGAAATTCTTTCATCTCAACTTCTAAAGGTTTTGGTGGATAGAGGATACGGTTGGAGCCCCTCCTGATAAAACCTCCCTCCTGATTAGACCTCCCCTCCTGACAACATCTCCCTACGCCCTACTCCAAGTTAAGACTACTGTTTCCTCTCTCCTGTACAGAAAGCATCGTTGATATTTATCACCGCCTGGCCAACTGCTGCGAGCAAAGAGCAATAAGCTTTGTGGTAGACTGCCCTTTGAATATGGCCAATAAGCAGCTGGTAGAGCGCCCTTTAAATATTGTCAGTATTCGGTTGGTTGAGCGCTCTATGGCCAGTACTCAGTTGATAGAGCGCCCTATGAATAATGGCAAGTACTCACACGGTAGAGCGTCGTCTGTGTCCACTGCTCTTTAAATAAAAGCATCACTCAGCGTTCAATCGGTGCATTATAACCAACACTCGCTGGTGGGCTGACCGATGACTGAGGCGGCACTGAAGTTGTGATGTAATAATAATAATGTTAACACTAATAATAATAATAGTAATAATAATAATATTAAAATAATAATAAATAGTGTGTACTTGCGGTGAGTCACGCAGCTCCCTGTGGCCGCGAGATCTGTCACCACTCTGCTCTCTGTCCTCCTGTGGCCTTCTTTGTACATACTGGAATAAAAACATAACTGAACTCTGCTTTGTTTTCTTTTTGGAACGGCCCTTTGGTGTACACCTTGAGATAAGAACAATGTACTTGATACAATACAAATGAGGAAGCATCAGTTTGTATCTAAGTAAACTACAAAGGGAGAAAGATTCAGATAATACAGAAAACCATGTAAACACGAGGTAAAATACGAAAAGGAAAACAAATACAACGTGTTGTTACGAACCACGCCATCTATTGTCCTGATCTACCTACCCAGCACCACGAGCAACGCCATCTAGGGACGAAACCCGAGTATGACTACTCTTAGTTACCACTCCGGGGTTTCCCTTCTCCATATCCTGGTTGTTGCGTCACCTCCTCAAAGTTTTCTTCATCAGCTCTAGTTCGATGAGAGTTCAGTTCTCTCTGGGAAGTGACCACAGGATCACCTATCCTGGAAACCTACAGCACAGTGACTACCTACCGTCTTCTACAATACTCGGCCTTACTCGTCAGCCATCTCAGCTCCGCACTTAAGTATTTGTAATCTTATGTTACCTCCCACCTCCACCTTGCTTCACGATTGTTTTATGTTGTATAAATATGTATATACTGTTAATGTTTAGGTTAAGTATGGTTAAGGGTAAATTATAGATAGTTGAATATTTTGTTAAGGAGTTTATGGTACTTTATTATACACAACAAAAACTCGCATCCTTTGTCTACCCTTTTTTAGTCCGATTGTCTTTGTTTTTTTATTATTGTTGCCTGTTGGGATCTGGGTAGACTTTTAACTATATTTTAAATCCCCAACTCGTAACAGTGTCGACATATAACCAAAACGCATTAAAATCATCTTCTGGTTGCTCCTGAGTCTCTGAGTTGACGAGAAAGGTCAGTAATTAAAAATACACATTGAATACTTAATGCCAAGTCCTAACACAAGCCAGAAGGTCACGCGAAGACTTTGATATTTGTACTTGTGTCTATTAATTTTCCTGTAGGAGAAACATCGCATATATTGTATCAAAGTAACTTTTCATGCATAATCAACTCATCAAAACTGACCTCTTCTCTATACCTTAACGGGAGTTCTATACGGCACAATATTTTACATCTCATCGTGGAATAACAGAGGACTTAGGCGGTTCCTGCTTCACAGACTTACGGGAGAGGAAGAGGCGCTGTGATGTAAGGATGATCTGCTTGGTGGATACTTATGCACCGCCGTCTGGGTAGTCTGTAATAAAACTTAAAACCAATTTCAAAGAGATTACAAACACAATTTTATTAGCGATATCAGCTAGTTTTATCAGCTCCAACCTCGACTAGCTGACCGACTGAGAGGAATTTATGTCAGACCAGCGTTGACCAGCCAAGGTTGACGTAGCTTATGATAATTTTTGTTTATACATAAGCAGATTTACGAATTACAGTTGGTCTATTATCCTATTTCCAGATAACTTGTAGGAATAAGATATATTTATTCGTGTCGTCAAAACTTCATGGAACATCTTTGCCTGGATTAGCTCTCGTAAAATTTTCATTGCGAGGAGGTGAACAGATGATATTGTTGATGGCTCGGGCTAGTGCTGTAGTAAGAGTCTCTGTGTAGCGTAAACTGGCAAAGGGTTTTTCATCGTGTTACCTTACATACAATCCCTATTGAAGTTTAACCTCACTATAGAAATGTATCATTTAATTTTAAGTTGTTGATGATTTAGTGTATTTACTAATCTAAAGTACATACTTAAAGACTTTAGTTGTTGAAAAGCAAAAATACATTATATCACCATCATCATCAACTTGATCAAAAATCTTCAGGGTCTTCAGCTTCAAGATAAAAGTGACCGACGTTCTTTCACCTCTTAATACATCTCGTGAAACAGACGATGACAAAACTATACAACACCTGAACCTCTGTAATTATGACTCGGGATTGTAAAGTTCATAATTAAATTCAACACGTAGAAAATGTATATGTAAAAGATTCAACAAAAGTAAAAAAAAAAAGTCCAGTTTACTTCCGTGGGATGTTCTCGACCTGGTAATAAGAGGTCTGTTAGTATTTATCATCTAACAGCAGTCGTTCACCTAGCAGGGTTAACGAGATCAATAATTCAAACCGTCAATGTCAAAGATAAAGGTCACAGTTCTGGAGAATAGATAGATACACCTCCCTTATGTTATGGTAGCTCCCTCGAGTGCAGTCCAGTGTCTACC